TAGACTGAACTCCTTATAACATTATTTACAGAGACCCAACAATATGTGTGTCATTTGATTAAATAGATAATTCAGAGATACAGTAGTTCTGGAGAATTTGAAAATACAGTTTTCCCACTTTCCAAGTCAGAAACGCACAGACCTTTTTTCATGTATTTGGTGTCTAAAGTTATAGCCTAATTATGTCATATTAAGCTGTCCTTCCTAAGAAGCATCCCTTATTACTTTCTTCTTTCCTGGAGATAAAAACTGCTTATTCTAGATAACAAAAACATAGTGATTCCTATATTTAGGTAATTATACAATAATGAAAAAAACATACCTTTGAATATTATATTCGAATCATATATTTTTGCCAATAGATCCTCCTAAATGTTACACACTTGACCTATAACAGCGTGATGTTAAATTGAAACTCCTGTCAGTGTGTACATTTAAGTTACTTTAAAAATAAACTGGAGCAAGCAATCAAACATGTTTCCATTATTGCTGTGTGTTGACTGTATGTTTTCAATTATTTGATTTAAAAGGATGCATTAGTCATATGGTATACATGTTCACATAATGTTCACAACGATGCTACTTTAAATGCTATTGGAAAAGCAACCAGCTACTTACATGAACTGACACAACATATTTTGATTATACAATGGAAATGGGGAGATTTGCTTATCCATCCAGTATATGTTAAGATATTTCACACAGATTAAATGAAAACTTTACACCTGTTGGTGGCTGAAGAAAAGTTAAGGGCAAATGGATTCAGTATAACTAAGATGGTAAGACCATACCATTTAGCTCAACGGACGATCTGTGAGACTGTACTCCCCTGTACTTATAGTTTTATAATTACAGTCTCACAGAGCTGATAGCATGGCTGTAGACACTTTTCTCAGAGGTTCTGATTAATACTAAGAGATTTCAACCATCCTCGACACAAAAATATGAGTGCCTCTTGTTGAAATGTTAATCGTTGTGTATAGTTATAGCTAATTTCAAGATGCTTGTTAATGTATCCCTCATTAGAACAACCAAATAACCAATCAGAAATATATGTAACATGCAACATTAGCTTACAACAAAAGTTAATCATTTCTTCTGTATACAGTAATAGATATTCACTGGAGGCTACTACTGGCTAATTGTTTTGGTATAATTCTGAATGAGACCTTGGAAGTACTGCTGTGTGTTTTTTTGTGATTGAAAAATTATGATGTAAACATCAGAACACTGATCAAAACTTGAATGATCTCTCTCCTTTACCCACAGACGGATTTTTCAAAAGTGTAACCCTAACTTTATAAAAGCATTATCCCTCTCGATGTAAACAGAGAGATCCACTACAATATGCATCAACTGTAAGGGAGGACAGAATGGGTCTGGCAGAAGGAGAGTACATCGATTGCCTAGGTCTGCGGGGTGGGTGGAGTACATCCCATTCACAGGACGGAGTGGGCTATTAGTGGGGGCATCGATGGGTCCGGGCGGCCTGCACCTTGGGATGGGCTCTCAACACTACCCGCATTTTCCGCCTTCTCTTTGCCAATCAACTACAACACCCCTGGTTGTCCAGATGCTGGCCTGGGGACCAATGTTCTTCCTAATTTTAAGCTGGGCCTCAGTCTGTGTTAGTCTTAGTGGTTTTTTTACTTTGCGTAAACCAACAACGTTCGTTTTCGCTATCTTCACAGGTCTTGCCAGTTTCTTTTGTCTACACTGTTTGGTCCTGCGCGATGTTTTGTGGCTTCGCTCTTTCCAAATTGTTTGGCATTTTTCAAAATTACGCTGCCAAGTTCCCCTGAAGCTTCCCACAGTTGTGGATTGACAAATTCCAGTTGGACACATGGCCTTGGTCATCACTGTGGCATCTTACTCAGGCCACTCTTACCTTCTTATTGGCTATTCTTGCTGTCCCACCCGAAACTCCTACAATGAGACACTTTTGGGGTCCAGAGACAGACAATCATACTTCGGTTGTGGACTGATTAATTCTTTAAGAGCATGTCGCCTTTGTTTACTTTTATCTTGGGCCCTCCCCTTTGCTCTTATTTTCTCCTACCATGCGCGAAAAGACCTTCCCAAGAGATACACATGAGGCCCCAAAGCCAATAACCTCTGCCTGCTCCTGCTTCATCCGTCACCTGGACATCTCCACGTATATGTACCTTCTACCGTTGGAAAGTACATTCCCCACACTGAAAGGCCTCTGGCCCGTACTCCCCAGGTCTCTACTGCCTTTCTGTTGTTTATTCCTTCCCAAAATGTTACAT